ATCATCTGGTGTATTATTTTTTTCTTAAATTAATCAGAAACATAAATTATACAAATATTAATTTAAAACTTCTTTTATATTTTGTTTTTGTAATTTAATTTGACTTCTTTATACATATACAATGTTGTTGTTGTACATAACATTATTATTATTCTTATTATCATCATCATTATGATAGTCATCATAATCTGTACAGATATCTTGTCATGGAGTAACGTGGATTTTTATATTGCTTGCATCTATTTGGATTTTTCATAGTAAACGATTGTACCAAATACAGGTCAATTTATTAATAGGTGAGCACAAGGATTAAATAATAATTGTATTCATTAATATAATTGAAATACTATATTTGTAGGTATATTGTTGGACATTATCATCATTGGTTTATTGAAAGCATTTGCTAGAAGAAGACGTCCTGCAGATAATGATGACCCTTTTGCAATAGGATCTGATAAATATTCTTTTCCATCTGGTCATGCGTCCCGAGTGATGATGATATTTTATTTTTTTATGTACTTATGGCCTGTGTCTGTAATTTGTTTCCCACCATTAGTAGCATGGGTTATTGCTACACCTTTATCAAGACTTTTGATGAGAAGACATTATATTCTTGATATTTTAGCAGGTTTATTTATAGGGTACGCTGAAGGAATTCTTATGAGCATTATATACTTAGATTCTGATACATGTCAGAACTTTGTCTCTTGGATAACCAATGTAAGAGTAGATGAATTATAAGGATTCTTTTGGATTATAATTTATTATTTTGAAATAATTCAATTTCTAATCATTTGAAGTTAATAAATTATTATGTAATGAGAAAACATACATTTTGTTTAACATACAAAACTTTTAAAAACATTTTAAAACCACAGATTTGTGAAATAGGCTTACACTGACTATTGTATTATAAAATAAAAATAATATTTTGTACCTTATTGGTTTATTTTTTTCTCATATGTTTCTTCCTGCAGTGGCATCTTCACTTCTATATTTGAATGACACTTCATTTCAATATAGTATGAAAGATGAATTCAGTAATAAAATAGATAACTTTTTCTTATATCTACTGAACTACCAAATGTAATGAGAGTAAATCCAAAAGCAATTTACTGTTATAAAAAGTCAATAAAAAAGTAATTTCGAAAGGAAGTTTACCTTATTTTGCTGCTCACCAAAATTTAAGATACAGATTCGTGATTATTTTATGAAATAATATTTTTCTATTAGTAAAGAAACTCTCTTTTATTTTTAATCAGTAGTACCGTATGTTGCTCAGGAGTCAGTATCCGTGATGGCATCGGAGCAAGAGGGGTTTTCATTGCGTGCTCCGCGTGACGCGCGCAATTAATATCTGTGACCGTTTACAAAATTTTGTAATAATCTCCTTAAAACAATTATCTAGTATTTATATCGAAGTAATCTTCTTATTTCTGCATTTGTTTCCATTTTATTCACAAAAGAAGTCAAAAATTTAAGTAAAAAATTGCGTACATATTTGACAATGAGTTCAAATGTCTACTGCTTTTGAAAAAATTTCCCTTAATATTAATGATAGAACTATGAAAAAGAGGGAGAAATAAATCTCATATTTATTTATTTTTTAAACAAAAGCATTATTTGTTTAGTTTTGTACACTATTAACATATTCTTATGATATATAAAAACCGATATACATGTTCTTTTTCCTTTGCAGTGACTATGCGGCAAAAGATAATGATAGTACGAAGAAGGATGAGGTTCCTCCGACTCATCGTAGTATAGAAATGACATCGCAGTATGGAGGATTCGATAAAGTACAGTAAGAAAAATTAATCATAAGTATTTCATATTATTTCGTAGAAAACGTACAATTATTCATATTTTCTGTCTTTTGCAGTAATTGCTGCAGAAAATAATGCTGACACAGGAAAAGACGGGGAGTTAACTGAGAAAAAGCTATCTAATGAGAATATTCTTTTTTATTAAAAAAATTGTTGGGTGTTTTTCCGAAAACAACCTTCTGCCAATCAACCTAAAATGTTGTGGAAAAGAGGGTAGAGGTAGAAGGTGACGAAAAATATAAAATTTTAGCTTCTATTATTTATTAAGAAAAAAATATTCGGTACAACATGCTGAATTTTACCTAACAAACTAATTAATGGTCTCTGCTGTAGTAATATCGGCGGCGAACTAATAACACAATAGCGATGTCGATTTTACTATTTAGGATTAAGAAATTATTGGTATATTATTTTTTAAATATTTAATCGTCTCAGATAGTAAAACTTTTGCAGCTTGGGTAACATTTTTGAAATTGACTTTTGGTCGTCTAACAATAAGACGATCGGATATCCCATTATGAGTTGTTTGCCATAAAAAATATGAAACAAAAATGTTTTTATATTTTACAGTTCTTTCTCTTTTGTTACACTTATCTAATTTGCGGTAATTTTAACATTGTGTCCAAAAACTGAAAATAAAATACTGTTCAGAGTATCAGAACGCTTCAACTAGCGGCATTTTAACCAATGCATTCACAATGAAGTTCTGCGATTCTGACCACTTAACCAGCTGGCTCTCGCAGAACAAATTTAAATATTTTCCTTTCCCTAGGAAAATTAGTATATCTCTCATAAAAGAAATTATTTTTTAACATAAATTGTATAATTTAAAATACAATATCTTAAACATGAACATGCTGAAAACCTCATTAATGTGTTGTTGGCCAGTTAAATGTTAATTAATATTCGATTGTGGACTGAGAATAAGCGCATATATACATGTATTTACGTAAGTTTCTATTTAAGAGTTCTTTCAGCCTTCTAAATTACTTTAAAGGTTAATTTTTCAACTGTCCGTTATCCACGAGAAGAGGACGCTATAATCAGTTTTGGATTGGTAGGTCGGTAAAGCAGTCTGATTCGGACCACAGAGAAGCATAAAATTCTTGATGGTATTCATATCAGTTTTATTAAATGCCGGCTTCTCGACAGATGCAAATTATGAAGCTCGGAATATACATGCGTGTAATACACCTGTTTCATAACTATCACTACAATCTTTAAACATACAATGTTAATGAGTTCGTACAGAATTATTCCAAGTCATTACGCGCAGAATTAACTTAAACAATTTATATATAATTACATTCTTTCCCGCTTGTAAATAGGAACAATACCGTCCACCGTTATTTCAAAATTATTACAGTCAGTGCGTGTATCATAGCATATATAATTATTTTAAAAAAAGGAAGATCCTGGCGCTTGCGCGATACCACATCGTCACGCGTCGTTGCCTTAGTCTGCGCACGCATCTCGGCGCGACTCACGGCTTTCAATAAAAAATTGAACGTACCACTCGCCAGTAAACTGTGAGGTTTCCAGCGATTCGTCAGGTGAAACTCCGTGTCGACATTAAATTTCATTCCTTTAATGCTCTCGTGGAGTATTTCCTTCTAACGTTTCACGACTTTCACAAAAGAGAATATAACATTTTCCGATGTGCATGCTTTCAAATTGATTAGTCGTTAGCTGTCAGATTATCAAAGATACGGAATCGTGTGTGTCGCCTAACTTCTCCCACGAGCTAATCGTAGCAGTGGAAAAGCGACGAGGCAGGACCAATAAATGTCAGTCGGCTGGGAGCCGTGAGGAACGTCGGATTCGCGGAGTTCTGATCGATTCGGAGAATCCTGCCGCGTCTCCTGTGCCCGGGCCATCGTTGTCAACAGAAGCATCGATTCTTATCACGTTGTCGCCATAAATTTGGTTTCGCGAGTAACGCGCGTAGTATAACGAAAATAGAAGTCATCGTGCGGGAACACGTGACAGCAAGGGAATTCATATGACAGCGACCGTGACGGGCGAACAGCAAACGGAGAACAGCGGTGTTGATCGACGACCGGGCACATTTCGTGTCGCCGCGAAACAACAAATTCGGAGAACAGTGATATAGTCATCTCGTTCGTAATTTCCCGTGAAACGTGCAGTGAAGTTGCCTCGGTGGGTGCCATTGACCGCCATATTCAGGACATACGCTACAGAAAGTTTCAAAAAAACTCTTCCAAGCTGATACTATCCGCAGATTGACAGGAAGTGACATCGGTAGGTTAGGGGTCGATTATTGAACGTGTCACGCGGTTACATCGGTGATACGGGCCTTAACGAACAACGCATCGGCGAGATGGAGTTCAAGTTCAACGTAAATAAACTCTTACCCAGGAAGATCAACAAGGTCACCCACACTCTCGTCCCGGAAGACTTCAAAGGTGATCGACGAGAATTACAGTAAGTAACCCCTCATTGTCAGTTAATAATTTCAATTTTTCGAAACGATTCGACATTGATTTCTGTTTCATTCTGTTGCACTGTTTTGGGGATATCTTGTATTAAATATAATATATGAAAAATATAAACTGTAAAATATAACATATAAAATATAAAGTATAAGACGACAAATATAAAACATCAAGTATAAAACGCCAAGTATAAAATATAAAATGTAAAATGTAAAATTGTTATACATGTAAAAATATCGAATTTCGGAATCGGACTAATGGAGCCATAAGAAGCGTTATCGTGACTGTCGTTATTTTCAAGGTTATCTTATAAAATGGAACATGTACTTAAGCGTGTGATATGTGTACACTTACTTTCACTTCGTGTCGATGATACGAACGTAGTAATTTGAAGTCATTCATGAACATAATCGATTCGTCCCGATGCGATGTAAATATGTATGTACCTTGTATGTTACGGCTGACATGATCAAAGCGCGTTGACATAGTCGCATTTCTTGATAAATTGATGGCGAAAGTAAATGGCAATGAAACAGATTCACGCGTTGGCGTGGCTCAAGGATACCTCAGTGCAAGGATTCAGCAAGGGATCTTTGTAATATCGTAAACATTTCGTTTTAAGTTACTGATTGTTTGTCCTGACGTCATAAATCCTTTTATCCTAGAGTAATACCCTTGCTCCTACATGAAGATACATATACAGGGTGAATGGTTTATTCATATCAGCAAATTTTATTTGTTGAGTAAAAAAATGTTCGAGGCAGAAGTTATTTGGCATTAAGAGTTGAAATTACGGTTGATGAAAATACGGTTGGCTTGGTTGATACCGAATAACTTTCGTTTGGAACATTTTTTTTATGTGATATGTGGTTTACAAGTAAATTCAGATAATACTGTTGAATGACTCACCCTATATATATACAGTGAGTCACAAAAGTATTCATACTCTTCCCACCTTCAACTATAAATGATTATTTTTATGTTTAACAAATTGTAACAAAAATTTTATTGATAGGGTAAGATAATAAATTTAATAAGCTTTCAATAGTTATAAATTTGATTTCAAAACTAATTTACCGAAATAATATAAATATCATTAAAAGTAAATGTGCTCGGAAACATCCAACATAAAAGTATTCGTACCCTTCAATTCTAAGTATATACAAACCAAAATATTTACCAATATAGCTTTGTTTTGATTCCTAAAATGAAGGAAATGATAGATTATTTGTCAGTAGACAATATTACGTTGACGAGACAATATATTCTCGATAATTATATAAATGAGTCGAAAGAATAGTGAAATTTCAGTAGCAGAAAGAAAATTAATTTGAAAATGGCACAAGAAAGCGAAGTCATAGAGCCAAATAGCAAACACTATTGGTAGAAGAAAATTCACTATTCAATATGTTATTAAAAGTATAAAAAAGAATGATACGGTATTGAATAAACCACGTACAGGGCGGTTTCGAAAATTTTGCGATCAAGAAAAAAAGGATTTTAGTATGCGAGATTTCTAAAAATCCTAAAATTAGTGGTTCAAAATTAACTATTATTGCTAATGTAACTTTACAAAAGATGTTAGTCCCGAAACATGCTGAAGAATCTTAATGAAACAAGGTTTTAATGGACGAGTAGCTCGGAAGAAGCCTTTCATCGGTAACACCAATAGATTCAAATGCCTTCAATTTACAAAAGAACACGCGGACAAAGAATGTGCGTTCTGGGAACATGCAATATTCTCAGACGAATGAAAATTTAATATATTCGGTTCAGATAGACGTTGTATGGTATGGAGAAGAGCGAATACAGGGCTAGAATTAAGAAATTTAAGGCTCTGTATTCATTTGGGGGTGTATGGCGGCAGACGGTGTTGGAAATTTCGTTTTCATTGATGGAATAATGGACAAAAATAAATATTTAAATATTTTAAAAGAAAATTCACATTCAAATAATTTTTATTTTCAGCAAGACAATGACCCCAAATATATGGCCCACATTGTTAAGCAATAGTTATTATATAATATGCCATATATGTTGATTACGCCTCCCCAAAGTCCCGACGAACATTCGAGGGCTGAGATTGAAAAAAGATTAAAAGAAAGTATTATAATAAGTAAAGATATGTTAAAAGAAAAATTAAGAGAAATTTGGAATAACATTCAACCCAATTACACTTCAAATCTCGTTCATAGCATGGCAAATTGTCTCCATAATATTATTCAAGCTGAAGAAGGTCCGACTAAGTATTAATTAAAAAATTAAATTTGTAAACTGTGTGAATTTAGAAAAGTACGAATACTTTTGTTTTACTGATTTTACAGCTGCTTCTAAGAAGTCACGTTTATATAATACTAATTTGTTAATTTTTCAATAACTAAAACTATTTTTGTTTTTTGCTTTTAATTACCAAGAAATATAATTTTAAAGGAAAAAAGAAACACGAGGAAACAATATGTACAATAGTTTGTGGTAATATAATACACTCACTTTTTCTTGAACAGAGGTGGCAAACTTTTTTGTCATCTTGCTCATTGTCAGTTTGGTGATTTCTTTCTAAGGAAATTACTTCTTACTAAAAAAGATTCATAGAGTAGAATAATTTGCTTGGTAGTTGAATCGACAGATTGTGAGAGCAAGAGGCAGCGAGAAAGAAATACAACGAAAATGATAATCGACGCAGTCTACGTTAGGGGATCGATTTTCCAAGTCACTGCAGATTAAGGAAGTAGGGACACTGGCCACGAGTAACTCACGGGCCGCCAGTTCATCACCCCTGTTCTAAAAGATGATTCAGTAAATGCTTGCAAGTAAAATGATATACAGAGTGTTCGAAAATTGTATGTAAGATTTATATGATGAATAGGACACTATACTCGGTGAAAAACATCTTAGGTTGAAATCTCAGGTTTCGAGATATATACATTTTTCATCTTCGGTTTCGAGATATAAACATTTTTGTATGTTAACCTTTTATACTTGAAAGATTTTTTGTTACATATATTCATTATTTTCTAGGGAAATATTGATTGGACCATTAATTATATTAAATAGAAATAATGCACGTATCAATGGATAGAATTATTCTGTTTTAATATGTCTTGTCTATTTATATTACATAAAATGTGATTTTGAATATTGTATTTTATAATTTTGCCACATCAAATCAAATTCTAGTTAACACCAGAATTATCAAGCATTTATTGGGGTTGATATGTAATCCTTATAAAGATTGTAACAATAGATATATTTTTTTATTTCTTCAAGCATTTGTTATAGCATTTTAGTGAAACTATTTGTAATGTACTTTAAAAATATCAATAATTGCAAAATAAGAAAGCAAAAACTCGTTATTTTAACGGGTACGGTAGCTGTAATGTTAACACACAATGTATTTCTACTAACCGACCATCTAATTTTCTCAAAAATGTGAGTGAAAAGAGAAAATATTTGAGACAGAAGTTATAGGATATTAAGTGTTACATATCACGATGTTATTTGTTTGACCTTAGGATGACCTCGAAACATACTACAAAAGTCGTGTTAACTATTTCCTGTTGCATACTCTTATAGCTGATATTCAGACGTTTCAAGAACACTTTAACTTGTTATTTTCGCATATACCGTTACCACCTTTTATTTGATTTTTAGAATATTGATTTAAATTTTGTTCGTCAAAATATTAATAGTAATATTTTATTGTAATGGATTACTGCATCTAAAATGTTAATAAATAAATTGCTATGGGAGGAGTTAAATAAATTAGAAAAAGTGTTATTTTAAGGATAAAGAACGTTTTTCAATAATGAACCGTCTTACTCCTTGGATTCCTCAAACGTTTTTATTTGTTTTGTTTCTCCTTTCCATCTGACGGTTGATTTGCCCGTCATTGAACTTTTTCGCTTGGTGGGAAGTGCACTCTCTCTAAACCTTTGTAAATTCTTCAACGATGACTTGTTACGCTCGCGGGAAATAACCTGGCGTATCTATTCGTGACGAAATCGTGCCGCAATTACACCGTAGATATAGAAAGCAACAAACTACGAGTTCCTGTTTTTATATTATATTGTACATAATTGAGAAATAGTGCTAATTAACACATTAACTGCCACGAGAATTTCAGGGGTTTTGTATAATAATACTTATTCTTTTATAACAAAGACAGATGGTATTAGAAATAATTATTAAGAATTTGCTAGCATACTACTCATGCTATAGTATTATCAGTATTATCTACTTATATTACTAAATATTTTCATTCGTCATTAATTTTTTTATTGTAATTGCATTTAAGCAATTTCGAAACTCCGGTCGTTGGTGATCACTACGACAGTCAACGCATTAAAAAATTGATTAGAAAACTAAAAACAACCATAAGTAACTAAATATTCATCTAAATAGTATATCGACTGTTGACACATTTGCAAATTCGGATTCGAGAGCACACTTTTAATGCTAGAAGAACTACGGCACCCACCATTTTGACGGGTTATAGTTTCCTTATTTCGCAATTATTGATATTTTATAAGTATTAAATATCCGAACTGATTTAAAAAATAAATAGTTTGACTTGAATACTATAATGAATATATGAAGAAACAGAAAAACCCTACTGCTATAATTTTGATAAAGTTTATATGTTAATCGTGTTAAACGCTTGATAATTCTAGTGTTAATGTATACCAACACTGCAAACGTTACTTTTGAACACTTTTCTATTTTTTAATGAAGAACTAATATATTATGAATAAATTATGCTACTTTATTTGTGGTAAATAGAAGAAATATAAAAATTTGCATGTCTTTAATTTGTAGACTATGAATCGAATGTTTAGTTACAGAGTAACACTGATTTATGTTTAGTTATCTAGGATTAAATATAAACCTATGAAATAAATAATATCCATGTACATAACTATTGACTATTTTATTTAAGATAAAATTAAAATAAAATATAAAGGTGTGTACATGTACTTAGTTATCGTTGAA